AAAAAAAAAAAAAAAAAAAAGATTTTGGGAGCGTTCCATCTTTCTCAATTACCTGGAATACTTTAAATAGGATTGGTATCAGTTTCTCCTTGTATGTTTTTTAGATTCGGCTGGAAAGCCATTTGGTCCAGGGACTTTTTTTTTTTAGGTAGTTTTCTTATGATATAGTCATTTTCCTGGATTGTTATTGGTCTATTTAGGATCTCGATTTATTCTTGTTGCAACCTGGGGAGGTTGTGTGATGTCAGAAAGGCCTTCATTTCCTTTAGGTTTTTGAGTTTGTTTCCATACAAGTGTACATAGTAGCCTCTGATAATCTTTTTATTTCTTTGGGGTCAGTTGTGACTTGATCTTTCGCATTTCTGATTGTGTTTGTTTGCACTTTTTCTCTCTTTTTCTTGGTTAGTCTAGCTAGGTGTCCATCAATCTTGTTTATCATTTCAAAAAACCAGCTTTTGGTTTCATTGATTGTTTTGTATTACCTTTTTGTCTTTTATGTCCCAAAATTGGGCTTTTATTTTGGTGATCTGGGTTCTTCTGCTGAAGTTAGGGTTTTGGTAATCTTGCTTTTCCAGCCTCCTTAGGTGATTCATTAGGCTGCTAACTTGTTATCTTTCCATTTTCTTCCTGTGTGTTCATAGAGATATGAATTCCCCTCTTTATACTGCTTTCCTGGCATCCCAGAAATTTTGGTAAGATGTTTCTTCATTTTCGTTTGTTTCCAATTATCTTTTAATCTCTGTTTTGAATTCTGTTTTGGCCCAGGAATTGTTTACCATCATGCTATTTAGTGTCCATGTCTTTGTGGGTTTTGGGGGAACTTTGTTGGTGTTGATATTTATTTTTATTCCACTGTGGTCAGAGAAGGTGCATGGCAGAACTCCAATTTTATGGAATTTGTTTATGCTTGATTTATGGCTAAGGATGTGGTCAATCTTAGAGTATGTTCCATGTGGTGATGAGTAGAATGTATATTCCATGGTTGTGGGGTAGAGTATTCTGCAGGTATCAATTAAGTCCAGTTGGTTAAGCGTCATGTT